TACAATGTACTGTCCATTCGACCATTTGGTTGCAAGAAGAAGAAACGTCAACAACATCGACAACAACATTTGTATAGCAGCGGCAGCAAAAATATCACCTCAATGTAAAAACATTGCAAAATGAAATACTCATTGCGCATCACATTCACACACACACACACAGCAACATCAGACAATCTCTCCTTCCTCAATGTTTGTTCATTGTTGTTGCTGCTGTTATCATTCACAGCTCTCGTCGACCTCTGTTATGAAACATGGCACAAAAGGAGGAAGGGAAAATTAATAATGGAAATCCATGAGAATCAATGATTCAAAACGGGTGCTCCCCCAGAAACAATGAGAGCGAGTGTGTGTGAGAGAGAGAGCACTAGAAAATTTACAAGGAGATTGTGTTTTTATTTTGCATGGGGGGAGAGACAAGGCACCAATAACTTTGGATAAGTGAATGTACAAATGTGGGAGCATAAGATATGGTATTTTATGTGGGTTGAAGCTCCCTCTCTCTGTCTCTGTGTGTTTGGCTCTCCTTATTAATTTCTCACTCGCGCTCCCATTTGTAAATACACACTTTACGATTTCGCCACACTTTGTGTTGTTTGTTACACATTATTCAAAAGGCATGTGAATGTAAATAACAGTCGCAGCAGCAGCATAAAAAACAGCTTTCAACAGTCCAACAACAACAACAAACTGCCGCTTTACACTCTGATATTCAATAATAGCGAACAACAGCAACAACAAAAAGCAATTTTGTGAAACAAGGAAACACCAAACTCTGACAAGATAACCGTCAGTTAGCAATAGCAAAAAATAAAAAAAAACAACAATCACCTCAAGTCATCATCATCATCACCGCCGTCACCAGCAACAGCAACAACAACAATATCATTACAAACTATGAGCAATGAACGAATGTACAAACGAACGAATAGTCGTTCGTTCGTCTAGTGAAGGCAGCCGCAAAAGCCCCCCAAAACAATAACAAACACAATATGGATAGAGTAGAGTAGTACATATTGTAGTAGTAAAACGAAAGCCAAAACCAAAAACTAGTTGTCATGTGCGCGAGTACTACTTACGTAGTGAGTAGGCAATAGGGTTGCCAAATTTTCAGTGGGAATTCCGTTTTCAGGGTCAGCGGAGATTAGAGGAGGATTAGAGTAATTATCATGGAATGTTTTGAAGGACACATTCAGTGGAGGGGAGGTTGTTATGAAGGGGCTTATGCCAACTTCTAATACATTCCGCATTTATAGAAAAATATTTCGTAATAAATCGGGTATGCGTTAATTCTATGATATAACTATGTTTAAATGTGAATTTCCTCTATCTAGCCACTAAAAAGCATCGACTATGCCTGGTTGCATGCGTAGAACTTCCTTAAATTCTAATTGCGAATATAAATTTAACGCCAAATAAGACAATTTTTTTTAAACCAACCACTTTCTGGGAGAGCTTTTGACAACAGCTATCACTTTTATACAACCCAGTCCAAAAAACAGTTGTTTCAACAGATTTTCTGTTCCAGAACTGCAATGGTTACACTTTTTATTACGTCAACCGATTTTTCCTTTTTGATAATAAAAAAAATGCTAGTAAAGGTTGTTTCTCTAAGAGCTTCCTGATTTGAAGATATACGGATAAAACATATAGCAAATAATTTCTTGTCATTTAAGTATAATTTCTGGCATATGGTCACCAAGACTATTTTACACAAAGGTCGTTCTGGAGGGTAAATTTTTGAAGCATTTAAGGGTGTATTTCAGCAATGACACTTTGAGTTATGGTTTTCAAAACGTCAATCGTTGCCACAAAAAATAATTGAGTAGGGTCAAATCACACGAGTTTGGAAGCCAATTCACCGGTCAATTTCTCGAAATAACGTTGTCCTTGAAATTTTCTTTCAATAAGACCATTGTTTCGCCCGTAGTATGGTAAGTGGCGCCATCCTGTTAAACTTCATTTCGTTTACACGAAAATTCATCCTGAATCGATATCAATTACTCATTTGGACTAATGATTCCAAACGGTACGTTTATCGGGATGCCTTGGCAATTCTTGAACATCGTGTGGATAATCTTCACGGCAATTTTGCTTATTGACATATCCATTCAACCAATAAAATGCGACGCATCACTCAAGAGAATTTTTTCGGTAAAAAGCGGATCTTCCATTCATTTATAAAGCGACCAATTACAGAATTTTATATGACACGAAACCGAAATCCTTACGCAACAATTTCCATAAATTCGATGGACAAGGCCCAACTTCTTGCGCACGACGACAAATCGATAAATTAACGTTTTTTGGCACTTGTCTCAACGACAGCAATATTTTTTCTGAACGCACTCTTCCCATTTTTTTCGGTGATTTAACATCCAAAACAGTGAATGTAGACTGAAATTTGGTAATTACGTTATTTATGGTAGTCTGAGGCCATAAAATGAAAATGAAGTGCTCTTTAAACATTTTAAAATTAATTTTCACGACTTGGAAGCGTTGTTCTAGATTTAACCCATTCATGTTGATTTGCCCAACAATTCTGAGTAGAGACGTAACTTTAAACTGTCCAAGCAACTGACAGACAACAGGGGAATTCCTAGTAAAAGAAAAAAAAACTCATAAAACTCGGAATTTTTAAAATTGTGATGTTTTTCAACGGATTTTTTCTTTTACATTTAGTATTTTTTTAATTTTCCCAAACCGAACATAGGTTCCTTTTTAACTTGTTTTAATTTTGCTATTTTGAGTCGATTTATGCATGTCAGTCCGTCTCTCCGTAGATATAGCTGTTTCATCCGATTAGGCGTTCAAAACCCTCACATTCGTAATATGCCTTCGACAATAATGATACTTGGTAACAGATATCAGATACAGCCCAGAAATGCCTCTGCCAAATTTTCAAAAGATCGGTTCAGATTTGGATATAGCTCCCATATATATCTTCAACTGATTTCGGGTTAATTGTGCACCAAATGGTCAATATTAGTCCAAATGACCTGAATTTTGTCACATCAGACCGAATTCAGTCTAGAAATTCGTACATCAAATTTGATGAAAATCGGTTCAGATTTAGCTAAAGCTCTCACATATATGTTTCGTCCGATTTGATATTCAAGTCCTGACATTCGTAATATGCACCCCAAAAGAATGATATTTAGTACTAGATATCAGATACAGCCCAGAAATACCTCTGGCAAATTGTATCAAGATCACATTTGGATATGGCTACCATGTATATCCTTAATTCAAATTTAAGGTTTGTCGTGCAAATAATGGCTAATATTAGGCCATATTTTTTTAATATAATCCTTCTCGCAGTGATATCATGCACTCTATAGCAATATTATTTGGTATGAAAGATAAAAATGTATCCATCATTTTATTTATCCATCAATTTAGTGAAAATCGATTAAGAATAGGATATGCCTCCCACATTATAGTTTCCCCTGAAACCAAATTATAACTGCTTTAAAGCCAAATGTTGATAGGTGTTATGATCTACTACAAATAAATTATTTTGTTACGGGAGCTCTACTAGATATGTAAAGTGGGTAGGGTATCATATAGCCGGCCCCGCCCGACTTGACTTTTATTTTCGTTGTTCCTAGGCACGCAAAAAGATTTAGATGTTCCATATCCTAGGAAGACGAATAACGTTTTATTTTAAGTCAGTCCTTAAAGATCAAACCGCCAGAATAACCGGCTGAAAAACCGGTAATACATTTTTTAATTTTCCTCTAGATAGGAAGGGAAAAATGAATTGCTACCAGGCAAATGTAAAAATGGATGATTCCACAATTCAGTTTATTCTTTTATATGCTTTTCGAATAATAACAAAAAAGTCCACATTTATAATATGGTTGAATTGTTTACAATTTTTTTTTTTTTCAAAAATTTTCATTCGACTACATCTCATTGTCAAAATTTATATTTATAAATCCATTGTATACACAGAAATCAGAGATGGGGACCTGTTTTTTATTCAGAAAAATTTGACTGAGTTTAATTTTATCATGATTTATAGTTCTGATTAATTCTAACTTCCTTATGCCACATATTTTTAATTGACAACTAATATTGCCTATAGCGCCAAGGCCAATATTCGCCCTTAAAATCATTTCAACTATAATAATTGCAATTCCGCCTCGCCATGGCAACCCTGTGTCTCACATGAAATGCTCTTGGTACGAAATGTCTCACCATGAGATTCGAGCAAAGGTATTTGCCTACGTGAGCACATGTGTGTTTGTGAGTATGGATGGTATCGGTGAGTTTCATTGAGTTTCTGTGCGAGAGTGTTTGTGCTGATGTGTGTGTCTGTTTGCTTGGCCGTTTTTGATGGTCTTTGCTTTGCTTTGCCTGCCTGTTTGCTTGCTTGCTGTATGGTTGGTTGTTGTTGCTGCCATACACTCATTTGTGATTTCGTTAACATAACGTGTGATATTTGTTCCGTCTCCTACATTTAGTTTGTTATTGACTATCGGCGTGAACGCATCGTGCGCTCGTTGTTAACCATAACGTAATTGTAACGTGAACTCAACCAAACCAAAAGAAGAAAAAAGCAGACGGATTGGAAATAAACGTTTGTCTTGCAATCGTGGTTGTCGTATCGTCAGAGCCAGCCGTTCACCAATAACACAGAAAAAAAAAATAAAAGCAATTCAAAATAAATTTTCTTTTTTTGTGAAATTTTTTCGTTTTCAACATCGTCGTCGTCGGTAGGCTGTTTGTTGTTTCCATTTTTTCTAAATGTTTTTTTGATAACAAATTCAATAAAAAGAAATACAAATTGTTAAAAAAAAAGTAAGTGAATTAAGAAAAATCGCTGAAAGCAGAAGAAATTGAAAAACCAGAAATAATTGTGAGCAAAAGTTGTAAAACTGAATGGAAAAAAATTTTTGAATTAGAAAAATAACAAAAAAAATACTTAACTGTGACCAAAAATTAAAAAAAGAGGAATTTACCAATTATTAAACAGAAAACAAAAAAAATTGTTGTGAAAATTTTTTAAAACCTTCAAGTGCAAATTTTTTAACAGTTTTTATTGTTAACCAAAAAAAAATTACTATAAAAATATTGAAATCATTTAAGAAATAAATATAAGTTGGTGTAATGAATTGTTAAAGAAAATTTTGAATAATATAGAAAAGAAAAATAAATTGTTGTTGGAAAAAAAGTGTTTCAAACCTCCCCTCTCTCTCTCACTAAAACCGTTAAAATTCAAAAAGATACACAAAAAATGTTTGACCCTTTTGTGAAAATCAAGAAAAAGCCCAATAATACTAGCACCACCAACAACAACAATAATAATAATGCCAACAACAACACCGTTAACGGCAACAATAATTTAATAGTGCAAAGTTTAGAAGATAATTTCTTACCGAATTTAAATGACATCTCATCGGTGGATGCCGAATTGGATGATGATTGTTTTTGCCTTACACCGCCAGCCACCACACCCACAACGCCTACCCAACAACAACAACAACATAGCAGCAGTACAGCAACACCAGCACTAAGTGCTGCCTTGGCCCAACCTTCAACGTCCTCAGCGGCCGCCGCTGCTGCTGCCGCTTCTGCAAGCTATTCCGCAACAACGTCACCTGCTGCCTCGCCACTCCAGGATTTGACCTCTAGCAGTGCCACAAGCACCACCTGCAGTCGTTTACAGCAGCTAATTGCTGCACCGCCCATCATACAAACGCCCCATTTGAGACAACAGCAGCAATTAGTATCTCCACCCACACCACCGCCCTCAACGCCACCAACACCTGCCTTGTTGCAACAACAACTGCAAAATAATTGTTCCCAACTACCCAGCACCTCTTCCGCCTCCTCCTCCTCCAAAACCGTTGCAACGCCATTACTGTCGCCAAACGCGGTACCGCAGCAACAGCCGACCTCGGTGTTGCAACAACATTTGGGCCATACCAACGCCAGCTCGCATGCTGCCGAGCAAGCAATAGTAGCTGCGGCCGCTGCTGCTATTGGCTCACCTTCAAGACCCAACCTGCAAACTTTGGCTCAACATTTGGCCTCACCGCCCCAAAATCACCTGAATCAGTCATCTGCCAACGTTTCTGTCTCTGCGCCCACCTCACCTTTGTTGCAGGAAATTTTCAATTCAAATAATTTACAAAATGTATTAACCAGACAAAGTTCCTCAGCCAGCAACTCGAGTACAAATACAACAAATAGTAGTTCTACAACAACAACGTCGTCATCATCATCAGCAGCAGCCTCCTCCCCATCATCTTCATCGTCCTCGGCCAATTCTACCCTAAGAAGTTTGGTTGCAAATCCTCCCGCATCGCTGATAACATCAAGTACAACTTTGAATAGTATTATTGCCAATCGTTTGAATTCCCCACCGAACTCAATCACAGGATCGTCGTCGTCCTCGTCATCATCATCGCTGGCATCAAAATCAGGATCCTCCTCAACATCTACAAGTAATACCAGCTCTTCTTCGTCGTCCAACTCCTCCTCCTCCTCGTTTCAGCAGCAACATTCCGCTTTGACAAATTCAATAACGCATCGTATACATCAATCCATACGCCGGCATTTAAATCAGCAGAGTAATAGTTTAGGAACAAATTCCCAGCAACAAACCGGACACAATCAGCAGCAACAGAGACTCTTGCAACATTCACAATACCAACAACAACAATATTCACAAAATCACCTGCAACAAGAACAGAGGCAACATCATTCATCGCGACACTCACACCAGCACCAGCAGCAGCATCATCATCACCACCATCAGCAACAACAATTGCCACAGTTCTCCGCTTCCGGTTCTTTGGCAAATTCTTCTTCCGGTTCCGCATCGTCTGCCTCTTCTTCTTCTTCGTCGTCGTCTTCATCGTCATCAAATTCCAATTCAAATTCACCCGTGTGTGTAGTATTATTGGTCAAATGTCCAAATTCAAAGGAATATTGTAATGCCTTACAAGCCCACCAAAATCACAATCTAATACCTCCTGCAACATTACAACAATTACAACAACAACACCAGCATTGCTGTGATAATAAAAGGTAAATTTATAAAAAAAGTAATTATTTAATAAAAACAAAAATAAAGATCGAGTTGTAAATATTCACCAACAGGGATAACTGTTTCTCGCAATTGAACTTCCCAGCTCAGGCCAGTGTTTAGGGATATGTAAGCCGACTTTTGAATCAACGCGTTTTGTGATAAATTACTACAATTGTAAAATATTTATCGTGTTGTGTAGAAGAAGTAGATAAATAATTAAAATAAATTAAAGTCGAGAAATCGATTTTTACTTCTAACAGATTTTTAAATCATAAATAAAAAGTCTTAAATATTTGTCTTCTCTCGCAATTGGGCTTCTCAACCGAGATGCCATTCTTTAGGGATACGTAAATCGACTTTAGATCATTTGTTCTTTTGGGTGTTTCTCTGCTCCCAATTGGATGTCCCTACTGAAGTCACTGTCTAGGGATACGTAGGTCGACTTTCGGCTAATTTACTTTTGTCATAGTAAAGTCTAAAAAACGTTTGGCATTGAAAAGCTTAAATTCAATTTTTCATAATCGATTTATTTGTCACCTCTCCATTAAATTTTCCAACTTATGCCACTGTTAAGGAATACGTCAAACGACTTTCGATTAATGGCGATTTTGGCGTTGAAAAGAAAAAGTTGGCTTTGGCAGAAATCGGAAACTAAACCTTTCGTTATCGGTTTGGGATTATTGATTTTTGGTTGAATTTCCATTTTCATTTCGTCGTAGACCCCCTTAAGTATAGATATTCATGATCACCATAAAATTCCAAGTCGATTTAACGATGTCCGTCCATCCTTCCGTACGTCTCTCGGTTGAAATTACGAGATCAAAATTTAGCACAACAATTTGTATTGTGTCTAGGATGGTTGACATTGGAAATCTAGCTATATCGTTCTACATTTTGGTATAGTCGCCATGTAGCGGTACCTCCCAATATTCGGTATTTTGGTGATTTTCGCCACATTTTTTACACATTTTTTTGTCCAAAAGTTGGTATTAATAGTTCGTAGTGGATTCTAGCACTGGTGGCGAAACATTGTATGTATAGGTCCACGTTTTTGTATAGCCCTCATGTAACGGTGCCTCCCGATATTCGGTATTTTGATGATTTTTGCCACATTTATTTATGGATCTGTCTAAAAATTGGTATTTGTAGTTCGCTATGAATTCTGGCTCCTGTAGCGAAACTTAATATGTATAGGTCCACGTTTTCATATAGCCCCCACATAACAGTAACTCCCAATATTCGGTATTTTGAAAATTTTGCCATATTTTTCCATGGATTTGTCGAAAAACTAGTATTTGTAGTTCGCAATGGATTCCAGGCAGAACCTTAAATATTTAGGGCCTTCCTATAGCGCACATATACCCACCGATATTCGGTATTATCCAAACGGTATTACTGGAATTTGTAATTTAAAATGGAACACGTTTGAAGTCAGATTCTTCTTTTAATAAAAATGTTTTTTTTTTTTTCAACCAAATGTGGAGGGTATTAAAAGTTCGGGCCGGCCGAGCTTAATATTTTTTCACTTGTTCTTGTAGAACTTGTTGTCTTAGATGAAAAAAATAAATATTTTTCCCGTCTATTTTTAATTAATTTTCCCATTAAAGAGCGATTTAATTAAAAGAAATGACAAAATTAAAGGCAACTAGTTCATAGTTCCTCTCAGTGAACAATATTGATTGCCCAACTCCGCTCAGTAAACTTGATTGACCAACTCTAATTTATTTAGTTGTCAACAATAGCTTTCTTTCATTTTTTCCTTTGGCTCTACTCTTAAATTTACTCCCCTTTGCGATTCTTGCAAAACTTTGCTCTGAGTAAAGAATATAAACTCTTTTGCTGCTCTTTTTAATTAATTATCACATTAACGAGCAATTTTATTTAAATAAAAGACGTAACAAAAAGTAACTAGTTCAGAGTTCTTCTCAGTGAACTAGATTGCCCAACTCCGCAATATGAACTAGATTGCCCTACTCCACTCAGTGAAGTAGATTGCTGAACTCTAGTTTAATCAGTTGTCAAAAACCTTTTCCTTTCATTTCTCCTGTCCTATTTCCTTAATAAAAATCAAAAAGTTAATTCCTTTTAAGGAATTTAATATCAAAACACACCCTTCTTATTCAGTACATTCCAAAATGAATAAATATTCTCCCTCTCCCAATATGATTTCATAAAACCACTGTTCTGTTAAAGAAATCGGGTTAACTGTTGCTCTCCTTATTGGATTTTATTTTACTCTCCCAATTGCCAAAACGAGGAATTTCTCCCTGAGTTTCTTAACTGGACAACACTCTCCAAACTTAACTCTCTTCCTCTCTACTCACTGAGAATAAACCATAGCAGTTTTCAACTACTCTTGTTACAATTTACAATAACACGAATGAACGACCAACGTTCGCCGTGCAAACTATGACAGCAGCAGCAACAACTTGTCGGTGGACACACGATTTCACGAGCACATGGTTGTTGGCTGGCTGACTGACTGGTTGGTTTGTTGCTACATGCCTTCCTCGTCTTCCTTTTTGCAAATGTTGCCACCAACCACAGCCAACATCATTCGGTACTTGTTTTAGTTTATCTGCTGTCGATGGTATGGCAGGCTGCTGCCTGGCTGTGTTGGAGTATATTTCTGCTTCTTCATCTCGTTGCTTCGTTTGTTTTTTTTTTCTTATTTTGCCTAAATAAAGGTGACACACTTTTTCCTTTTCGTTCGTTGTTGTTGTTGTTTTCTTCAATTTGTTACTTTTCCTTCTGCTCTTGCAACAGAAACAAAAAAAAAACGACAACAACACCATGAGGTTCGTTCTCTTGACTCTCCAAGCAAAATGCCTTTGTTTCCTTCTACCAAATGGATGGCGGCGGCGGCGGTGTGCTGATGATGTTTAGTTGCTGCCGCGCGCGTATTTAGATTAATTTGTTGAATAGATTTTTTCCTTCAATTGTATATCTCCAAGTGAGTGTGTGTGTGAGTGTAACGCATGAAAGTGTGCACAAATTTAATAACATTTTGTATCCTTTTTCCCAACTACTACTTCTGCTGCCGCTGCTGTTCTGTGACCTCTTTTGTTACCATTTTTTTCACTCTGTGCTTTCTTTTTGATGTTTTGAGGTTGTGAGGTCATAGTTATCTTGTATATGTCAATCTCTCTTGCCGTATGTATGTGTGTGTGCAAGTTTTCTAATTAGAATTTTTTGGGTTTACTTCCTAGCATAACATTTAGCCTTAATGGTTGATTGTTTCGAAGGAAGTTAACGAAAAAAATAGAAAGAGAAATGAGGACAACCAAACCAAATAAAAAAACCAACAACTAGGCGTCACATCATCGTTATCATCTGCATGGTGTGCCTTGTTTATGTTTTATGTGTCAACATAAGGCGTGTATTATTGGTATTACTTACACAAGGACGTGTGGCGGCGCATGACCAATTTTGGTCATTACAGACATTTGGTAAAGGAATTGTGCGATTTTACTGAATTTAAATGAAAAATAGTATAAAAAATTATATTGAAGTAGAAAAGGCGGTCTTCATCTCGAGTTTCGAACCTAATGATGAGGAAAACGGGAAGTTAAATTTATTTATACATATTTTTTTTTGGAAAATAAAAAATCTCTATGAAATATTTGCTAATGATTTTTGATTCTAAATGGAATTTGGTTTCTCAACAAAGTTGCTATATAAATATGTGAATTTTGAGAGGATTTTGGAAATGTAATTGTTTTTATTTAAATTTATTTGTAATTTTGTAAATTTAAATATGTAATTTTGGCCATAGTATAAACGTCAAGTTAATTGTTTTTATTACATATTTGAAAATAATCCAAAACAATAATGCCGTTCCACCGTTTTACACCTATAATGTTGCTGCACGTCAATTTGTTAATACCTTACGCATTTGAAACCTTTCATATATTGTTTAGGATACATGTACAAATTTAGTATGCTAACTGAAGCCATGTCATCTAGTTTTTTTCTTTAATGTGGACGTACGACAAATATTTACCACACCCCTTAACACGTTATTTATATCAAACCGCCAGTAATACTAGTATACGCCAGGTTTATGGATACTTCAAAAAAAAAAAACAATAATAACTATAGGCTCCTATAATTTTGCCGTATGGCATTAAATTCCATTTATGTGAAAACCCCCTTGTAGTGTTTTACGATACGACAACTAATTTGCGGTACAATAGTCTCACAGAAATTCTGGTTGGTTCTCAAATGAGCACGTGCGGCAACTCAGTGTGTCAAATGATGATGCGTTTTTGCGGATTTTAAGTCATTTATTTTTCTTTAAATTGCCATCATTACATACGAGTGACACTTGATGTAGATCATTTAATTTGAAACCGTTATATTCACTCTCTTTTGTGCACTTCTCATTAATCCTTTGATAATGCCCTGCGGCATTAATATCACACATGTAGATGTTCTAATATTGAAACCGTAACATTGCCCAGCTTTGTGTGCAGTTTTCTTCACTCCTTTAATAATGCCCTGCGGCATTAATATCACAAATATAAATCTTCTAATTTTAAAACCGTTACATCGTCCCAGCTTTGTGTGTTGTTTTCTTTACTCCTTCAATGAGGCTCTACGGCATTAATATGACAAATGTAGATATTTTTACTTTGAAACCGTTACATCTATTCAATTTTGTGTAGTTTTCTTTACTCCTTTAATAATGCCCTATGGCATTAATATCCCACATGTGTGATCCTCCCTTATTATAATTATCGAACGTTACATGTTTGACTAATTCTACACAGTTTTGTGTAGTTCGCGTTACTCCTTTAATTATGCCCTACGACATTAATATCATACATGTGTGATCCTCCCTTAGTATTATTGTTGTAAGTCACATTTTCGACTAATTCCTTTATGTACTCCTTTAATAAAGCCCTATGGCATTAATATCATACATGTGTGATCCTCCCTTATTGTTATTGCCGTACATTACTTTTTTGACTAATTCCTTCGACAGAATTCGACAAAA